AATAACCGCATTTCATATGGGGAAATGAATAATTTCAACTGCGAATGCGCCTCCAGTTTGTGTATGTGTGTAATTGTGTCATTTACTGTAGTGTAAGGGGGCATTGTGTTTGCGTCTTGTCCTATTGTGGAGCGGCTGGGCGTTGTGATACACAAGGCGAGCACAATGATTGGAGCATCGATCATGTTTTTTTTTTGAGGAACGACAGACAGAAACCTGTCAGAGGCGGACAACATCCTGTTTGCAGAGAGAATTTCAATGAGATCCAACATCTCAAAGTTCAACAGCTGTGATGGTTTCTGACTTAAAAGTGAAGAAACAAACGCAGAAAATGGGATGGAAAGTGTTTTACAGAAGATAATATATAAGGAATAAAACAGCTAAGGAGCTAAACTAGGCTAAGCCTGGAAAAGATGTGCAGGATTAAACGAGCGTATTAAAAATAAAACATGAACGAAAATGTGACTGAACTTCCTGGATTTGGACATTTTTTACTTTCTCAATTTACACTGTCAATAAATCTGATTTAAAATAGTAAAACCCTGTTTTGCAGTGATTCTTCACACACACAGTGTGACGTCACCTCTGCACCAATAATTAGTGACTTATAGTAGAAAAGCTAGATATAAATGTCTGTATCATTCACAGATGTATGTAAATACATCAGACAGTGTCTTTACATACATATGTAAATACTAAAAAAGTACTTTTCCTTTTTGATGATGGTTTTTTGTAAGTAGTAAAATTACAGGACAAAAGTAAACAAATCAGAGACTAAGTTTAACAGAAGTTAAATAAGTGTAGGCAGAAGATTTAACTTATTATGTCTAAACTCTAACAATCATATTAACATAAACAGCAGCAGACTTTTTCAATCAATACAAAAATAATGAAATAACTGTGCAGATCAAATCTCACAGAAACAGAAAACTTCAGTTTGTTTCCTAATTCTTCTTTGCACTTTTTGTATTTTTTATTATAAAGCTTTAATTTTTCATCACAGTTATTCAGCACAATTCCTCTTAGTATTGGTTTTCTATGCATTACCATTTTTGGCTCTATTAGGCAGAAGGATAGAAATGTATGCTGTTGAATATCTTTGGTTTTATATGAATTGCAAATTGTTTTGAACATTTTACTTCTGTTTGCTTGGGACAATTTTTGCTGAGTCAGGAAAAACTGAGTAAACAGCAACATCCTTGCTAACAAGCAAGGCCTGTGGATCGCCGGAGAAGAAGTCACGATGGGTGAGAATCATATAAATAACACACACACTCCTCCTGTGGGATTTATTTAAGGCCCACACACAAACACAGGGTCTAATGTTTATTCAGAGCCACAAACAAGGAGCAGACCGGCTGATTGTTTCTGACCTGCTGTGTGTTTATGCTCCTCTGCACCTTTCCAGCTGATAGTTACCCAACACTAACACTGCCTGCATTTACATATACGCTAATAATGTGATTAACATGTGATTAAGCCAATAAGAGCCTGTGTAAACAACTTCTAATTACATGCAAAACATGGAAATGAATTTAGCAGGAACAGAATTAGGAATTTTAATCCCGAAAGAAAAAACATTTCCACAAAGTTACATTTAAAAGTCTATTGATTCTGAAATTTTATGCTTTATTTCAACTTTATTTCAAGTAAAACTGAATTTATATATGTTCAAATGTCCAAAACATTTCTAGATGAGCTCAAAGGTCCAGAACTTCTAATGATGAGAAAATTCAGGTCAATAATTTTACGATTTTATGTCGATATAATTATTTGTTTGTGACTCTAAGCTGATCTCAATTCTGACAGTAAAGTATAACAAACTCTAATTATTTGAGAAAAAAAATTTATCTGATCAACAATTAAATTTTATGTAATTGTTGATCAGTCTGTTTTTATACAAAAAATTAACTTAACCTGCAACCAGATGAGAAATATCACAACAGCTGTTGGTAAAAGTTACACCCAAAAACAGCTGGTCAAAAATCAGCGATAGAACAGCTGCACCAGATGAAAATCAATGTTCTGGAATGGCCTAGCCAAAGTCCAGAACTTCATCTGACAGGAAGTCATTGAGCTTACTTTATTGAAGATATGCTCATTCTAGATGCTTCACTTTCATTTCCCTGAAAACAACTGAGTTGCATTAAAACTATTGACCACCAACGAAACAGTCAGTCCCAGAAACTTTCGGTTTTGGTCCGAAGTATCTCCAGCTTCAGTTTCTACATGTATTCAGATAAGCCATCACACACTGGATGAATCCCAATTAGCTCCTCTGATTCCTGTAACGGAAGCAGACTGTGTGCACAGTAATGATCGCAGGAAGCCACCTTTACCTGCTGACAAATCCGACAGCCTCACACTGGCTGTGAAATTCTCTGGGATTAAGTTGGCAAGTCTGAATCTGGCAAAGTAGCAGAGATGAGTTAAAGCACATGTGTCATCCATTCTCTTACACACACACACACACACACACACACACACACACACACACACACACACACACACACACACACACACACACACACACACACTCCTGCAGAAAGAGCAGAGATTCACTCATTAGCTCAGAGTTTGCAGAACGAGTCCACACAAGTTTTTTCCTCCCTTTTTTCTGTTCTTGTTGGGCCACTTGGTTTGCATTTGTTTCTATCAGTTTCATTTCACTTTAAGTTTATCCTGAGACTTTTGGAGGAATGTATTCAGGTCAACTTACAGCAACAGAAAATTCAGCTTCAACAGCTGAAAAACAAACCATCTGAAAACACGCTCTGTTCACACAAACCTTAAAATCAACACAAAACTGAGGTTTTCATTCTGAATATTAGCAAAACGTCATGATATTGGTGCAAGTTGTGATGACAAAATTACTTTGTAATACACTGCACACATTACATAAAGTTGATTCTTATTTATGAAGAGGAAGTTGAATGATTCAAACAGATAATGATCTCTTTTATGCTTCAGGCGTTCAGAATCAAAGTTCAGAGCTGTTCTCTTGTCAAGTAGAGACATAAAGCACATCAGGCAGAGCCACACAAATCACACAGTCAGGTTGTGGAGCTGTTTAAAAAGGGATGAAAATAACTTTAAACACTAAAACATGTTTATTTAAGCAGTAAATTATACATTTAAATCCACAGTCACCCAGTAAAGATCCTGATTCGTCACTTAGGAGGAAGAATTTCTCAACGTTGCATTTCATTCAATTCTAAAATATCAAGAAAATATTAAAGCATTGAAACGTGAAAGCATATTACAATTGCATTGTACAAATATTGATATATTTAGAGTAAAATGACACATTTTAATCTGAATGTTACTCTTAAAAATCTGTCAAATTTGTCGAATTGACCTTATAGAATTTCTGAAACAAGAAAAAGTCTCACACATCCAAATATCTAAATAAAGACGTTAGGAGATAATTCAGTGGCCATTAGATGAACCAGCTGGACTTTTATCTCCTTATATTTGTATACTGAACTAACAATCAGCACCATAACGGAGCCAAGCTCAGATGGATTTAATAATCCCTTTCCACTGCAGAACTGTGTGGAAAAAAAATTGGCTTCACAGTTTAAAGCTGCAGCTCAGCTCTTTACAACACAAGATATCAAAACAGATTTCCACCTCAAACAGTTCTCGCTTCATAGCTTCCTCTTCTCTGCATCCGATCATCACAGAAACATAAACAGAGCAGGTGTTCGCACACAAAATATGCCCAGACCTTTATGAAAGTTAGAAAAGCTGAGCTCAGGTGCAGCGACAAACACCTGAGGAACATAATATTTAAATGTTCGCAGAATGATGAAGAGAAAATGCTATAAAAAAAACACGCAGCTGTGCCGCGTTCCTCTTTAAAAGTTCACACTTTACCACAGACAAAGATGGCTGAAACCCAGCAAATGAAGGAGCTCGATACGCAGCATCCCTTCCACAAAAACATCAATGAAAACCTTCATCTCAGAGTGGCAGACAGTCATTAAATTCAAGCCAAACAGAACCGCCGGCCGTCTGGTTCTGATGGACACCTGATACTTTACGTCTCCAGACAAACAGAAACAAATCTTTAAAGCTTCAGTTTCAAGGAAACTAATCTTTAAATTTATACTTTTGTCTAACAGAGTCAGAAATTCAGACATAATGACGCTGCATTTATATCCTGTGCTCCAAATCTTCCTCCAGATTCCTAGAATCACTCCTGATAACTAAAATGTAGGATTTCTACACAAGTTGAGTTCTACACATTGCAGAATAAAGCAGATCCTACAGACACAAAGCCAGGTTGGAAATCAGTCCAGTTATCCTGAAAAGGTTTATAATAAACTTTAACAACAGAAATAACTCCCATGTTAGACAGTGAAACAAGTCAGTGAGCTGAAGAGTCTGAAAATGGAAATAAAGTGGTTTGCAAATCAGCAAAGACAAAAACTGTTTGTGTATTTCTGCTGGAAATTGAATTTTCTGAATTTCCATTTATGTACAAAATGTACATCTTAGGATGTAAAGCTGCTTAAAAAGTAAGAAAACGTTTAAACAGCCTGACTGGGAGCCATCTGAGAGAAAGTGGCACTTTGAAGGATGTTTGGTTACATCAAGCCCTTCAGTTTTATGTCACCAATTAATTTAAGCAGCACACATTAGAGTATTCATTTACTTTACTGAATGTGCAAAGCAATTTGCAGTTAAATCAAGTCCCTAGAAAAATAAAGCATAAAGTAACCAGGAAGTTTAACTTCTTTCAGACTCAACATATGAAGTCTATCATCTTATATTTCAAGTTTTCTTCTTCTAATAATCAAAGTAAATGTCTGATAAATCAGCCCTTTAATCTCTTTTCTTACTTTAAAATCTCAACACTAACAGAGTTGCGTTGTTATGATGTGTAAACGTCATGAAGCGAATAAAAACAAACTTATCAGTGCCGTCATTACCTTTCAGTATCAGTTTCAATCTGCTTAACCACAAAGTGACGTGTGTGTGTGTGTTTCCTTCACCTGGTTAGTGTCTGCGCCTCCGGCTGCTGCTCCAGCTCCGGCGCCGAGCTCCGGTAACTTCCTCCGACTCAGCACCAGCAGGTAAACCAGCGCTCCCAGCCACACCAGCACCGCCACGGTCACCGCCAGCCTCCGACAGAGACGCTTCATTTTCCGGTCAGGAGGAGCCGACGGCGCCCGCAGCTCGGGTTTTGTCAGAATCCCATTTTAGGAACCGGAATTTAAATACACAACAAATAAAAGAAGCGGATAAAAGCAGAGGAAGCTCCTCCAGCTGAGGCGACGCGAGCCCGTCCGGTCCGGTCCCGCTGGCTGTTCGGCACCGTGCGCGCGCGCGCGCTCCTTCACGCGCTCTCAACTCTCACCGGAGCTCGAGCGCTTCTGGAAGCGCCGTGGGTCCACGTGCGGGTGAGGTGGGTGCGCGGGGACGGAGCGCGTTTCTCTGAGGCAGAGCTGGACCTGGACCCTCCTGCAGGTCTGGACGGGATGGCGGAGCTCCACCTGCCGACACCCACCCAGCTGCTCCAGCGCTGGGCGACATGTGAATGTCTGCGGCTGCAGGAGAACCAGGTGTGCCGCTTGCTGTGGGACCGCAGAGCGCAACATTTCCTCACGTTGTATCACAATTTAATTGTATTTTATAAAAATTATGAGCGATAAATCAACAGAAAGCATAAATGTGAAAGATGTACCTGTGTTGGACATTGTTTTGCTATCCAGCACCCTGCAGCAGGGCCGGCCCAAGGTTCTGTGGGGCCTGGAGCAGAATTTGATTTGAACCCCCCCTGTTAGCATATAGGCAGTATGTGACTAGCATATATCCAAAAACTGTCACTATGCTGTGACAGTGAGACAGATGATCTGTGAAAAATATAAAGTTCCTCTGACTCCTCCCAGTGATTCCAGTGGAACCCAGTAAAAGCAATAAGAGCCAGGAGGAGGGTCTTAGCACTGTTTTTTAATGCTTGTGTACGTGCTGCTCACACACTCCTCATTGTTCTCTGCTGTGCTACAACTGGTTCACCGTAATAGAGGCTGTCATGAACGCTTTGGCTCGTTTCATTACCACTGATGATGGCGGATAAACCGTTTTTCTTGGTAAGTTGTTTCTCTATAGCACATTTAGCAGTGCACGCACAAGCTTGATTGACAACGCTAAGCCCCTCCTCCTGGCGCTGATTGGTCGGTTTTTCCAGAAGTTGTGTATTTTTTCAGAGGCTCAGGGAGGAAGCAGAGGAGCAAATAACTTCCGCAAAAAGATAAAAACAGAAGCAGAAACCCAAACTCTAGGACTTATTTATATGCATGAATCTATATTTTATGGAAGCATCATCAGTTTATCTTTCTCAGATGAGACACACATGCAGCACATCTGTGTAGTGACCAGTCAGCAGCGACTGTGATGCATTTCTGAAGTTTAAAATAGATTCCAGTGCTGAGTCTCAGGTCAGAATGTAACAGCAGAACATGGCTGACATGAGGTCAAAGAGTCTGAACTCTGATCACAGAAATGTACCCAGCTCCTACTGAGAAATAAAAAACATGTTTCCATCTCCAACAAAACAGCTGGAAGGATGGGAAAAGAAAGAGAAAGTAGAGAACAAAAATACAAATGGAAAACATGATATAAACACAGTCAAAAGTGGTAAAAAGAGGCAGGAAAGAGCACCAAAGCTTTCTGTTTTGGTAGCTGCAGTCCCATTAATATAGATTTGGAAAAAAGAGAGTCAGTGATCCCACGTTTTATTTCAATAAATTATCAGACATCCCACTGAGGATAAAGCTCTGTCTTAGAGCTCATGAATAAAACATGTGGAGCAAAACATAAAAAATGATCCTATTTATGTCAGGAAAGAGCTCCGAAAGAAAAACGCTTCAACTGCGCCATCTAGTGGTGAGGTAACACAATTGCAGAGTGAAACTAAGTTTTCCAGTGAAGCTTGGAAAAAATGCAGATTTGTCTTCAAAAATTGACATTGTGCAAACATAAATGTTTCAGCAGCTTCATGTTCCCTTTATAATGATAATTAAAATCAATAATTCTGATATTTCCACACCAAATGTAGCATTTTAGGCACAAGTAGACAGCTAAAGTTGCATTTGCAGGTACTGTTGTATTTATGAAGACCTTGAAGAACAACGAAGCAGCTTTCTCACACATTTGTACTTTCCAGGGAATTAACCTTTGGATATCCCAGTGTGTGTCACACCGCGTCCTACAGGTGATGAGTGGGCATTAATCTCACAGGACAGCTCAAATTCATCACTCCTCTCCTTTTTTGAATTGTTCCTGCCCTTTTTAAGACCTTATTTTATTTTTATAAAAAGTTAGCAGTGCCCACTCCTTTAGGAAAGTTATCCAAGAAATGTATTGCATAGCTAAATGCAGATTTAGAACTTTTTGCATTCCATGACTGAGCAGTTTTAATACAATTCAGGTAAGAATCTGCATCAAACTGTCTCATTTTTTTATCTGCTTTTTAGAAAATTTGCTGAACAAACATAATATGTTCTTGTTTTAGTTAAAACTTTTCAAAATGTAAAGATTTTTAGCTTCAAATAACTTGAATTTAATACATTTAGTACATCTAGCTTCAGACATAAAGCTAATGCTGCAGTGAAGCTTCACTACTTGTCACTAAATGCTGCCTGCTAAACATAGCAACACAAGACAAGCACCACATTTAAGTAAATGTTCATTTAGTTAAAGAAGGATGAGAAGAAACTACAAAACATTTTACTGACAGTCATTGTGTTATTTAGCACCAGTCAGACTCAGCCTTTGGTCTGAATGTTATTCCAAATTACAAGTCACAAAAAGAAATGCGTATTTTAAAAAACAATCAATAAATCAGTTTGGAAATCAGTGAAAAACTTCTCAGCAGCTTCCTGTTCTCTTTCGATCTGGGAATAATTTAAGAACCGGAGCGGGGTTTATGCTAATCACTGGGTGTCGTTTTTTTAAAATATTGTCATTGTTTTATGCTGTAGAGTTTAGGGAAACATTTCATCTTTCTGCAGTCCTGCTACATTTCCATGTTTGACCCTGAACCACATTGGCAGTGGTGCAGCAGGAGTCACCTTCCTGCTGGTGATGACCTCATTCCTGCAGTGGTTTGGGTCATGCTTTATCTTTACATCCCAACTGGTGTATGCGCTGCTACATTTAAAATATCTGATAAATAAATGCTTACATGCACAGTGAGTCAGTGTGTGGAAAGCTGGGTTTAGTAGAAACTTTCCTACTTTGTTATAATGCATAGCTGAGGCAACAAAGTGACTTTACAACCAGGAGCAGCAGGTTAGCATCTCAAAAGCTCAAATGGTACCAAACTTTGACCCCAAAGGAGTTGAACAAGAGGCTTTATGGATGCAGAGCAGAACCAGAGAATGGAGAGAAGCAGGAAGTTCAAGCCGTCTCTGAGCTTTCTAACCGGTCGGCCAAACGGACTGCGAGAGAAACGGCAAAAGCAAAAGAGGCAGATTAGCAGCTAGCTAACAACTGATGATGTCATCCAGATCATGTCATTGTGAAATATCTCTGCTGTCTGGAAATGGGGCTATTAGCATGTCATAACAGTCATACAGCAACAGCCTTCAGTCAGAGGCCTCTTCAGATTCACTGCAAGACTGACTGCTACTGGAGGTCCTTTCAACCCACTGGATTACCATCGACACTAAAGATACTAGCATGATGAGTTACATTTCATTTCCCTTTGGGATTAAAAAAAAAAAGTCTGTCTTCAAAACACCAAGTGTTTTTTTAGTTTATTTTTTTGTCACAGAATTACTGAAAGATTCTAGTTTTGGTTCTCACTTTTCAATATACCAGTACAGGTTCGGTTTGTATTGACAAACATATGGAAATAAATTGACACCAACACAAAAGCAACATCCTCTAATCCAGTTTAATTTCCTCAGCAGAAAAACAAAAGTGGAACATGATCAAATTAAAAAAGGGAAACAAAATAGGACAGAATTATGTTCTTGCTTTATACATTTAACTAAATATGCCACTCTATGCTAGGGTGTAAGTAACTCAAACTGATATAAGGTTAAATAATTTTCTTCTTTGAAAAGGTACAGAAAGATAATCTTTTTTTTTTTTCCATTTCTTATCAACACTCAAAGAAAAGCGTGGAAATGAGAACCAGTCAGAACTTCTCCAGAACCCTCTGGGAGACGCAGAGGCGAAGGAGGGAAGAAATAATCCGGTTGTGCTGAGGGTTAGCATAGTAAAGAGGTGATGGACAGGTTTTCAACCCGCCACGCTGCAGAAGCTCCAGTTCTGCTTCTCAGTTAATCCTACAACAAAACGTACAGTCCAGCATTACCCATGATGCATTGTGGGTAGCGCGCGATTATTCCGAGCCTGTTTTCAACAGATTGCAATTTCAAACCTTTGGACGCACTCTGGTGCTGAATGCCCAAATTAAGAACGAAGGAGGAAGAAACCGTCTGAAGTGCCACAAACGGATACATGTTAGACGAGTCTCAGAAGAACAGAAGGAAAAAAACTGAACAATATGCACAGCACAAAGTCCGAACAGGCAGGCTGCAGAGGCCCAGTCAGAACCAACCACCAAACTCAACAATTCACCTCGTTTCTGCAGCCAACACCACCTGAAGCATCATTGAAACACAGAATCAGTTTAAATCTGAAACAGCCAATCACAGCTGGTTGCCATGACAACTGAGGCAGACATCCCAGGTTTAAACTGAATTTTTTGATCCTGGTTTTCTCTGATGAAAAGAAAGCTCAGAAGCAGAAAAGGTGACTTATGCTAAAAAAACAAAACAATAATAATATAAACATGAAATAAGATGCTAATTGTTACATTCCAAACAGCTTCCTGCAGACCCAACACAGAACGAATGAACTGCAGAATGATTTCAGCTCAATTAAGCACTAATGAACTTCAGATGCCGTTTTGGTGTCGAACACTTTCAGTGAAAACCAAATGAAGTCGCGTCGCCGTCTGTGTACCACTCAGCGGGAGAAGAGGATCTGCTACAGGGTTGATCTGTCGGACTCCGTCCTTTAGTGTTTTTTTTCCTCGTTAATATTAATATTTATGATTTAGTCCATGTGAGCCGAGGCAGGGACTGGCTGGGAAAAACAGAACGGATCACCGTCACGGCACCCAACGCCGTGCGGTGGCGCTGTGACGCTGCGCGTGGACCGAAACGTCATGGAAGGAACAGAAGAAGAAGAAATGAGGACGAGGAAGGTGGGTTACAGGTTTTACACTCCAACCCCCTGATGGCGACCTGAGGAGCGGCCGCGGGGCGGAGCCTAACCCCCCGCTGCGGCCGAGTCATGGAGGACAGGAAGAAGAGATGAAAGCGGGCCGAGCGGCGGAACCGTTCGACCGGACTTCCTGTGATGGAGAGAGAAACGGAGAGAAGAGGAGGAAATGGTGACGAGTCTGACGGATCCATCCTCTCCAGGAGGGGAGGGTGGGGTTAAGGCTGTGTGTGTGTGTGTGTGTGTGTGTGTGTGTGTGTGTGTGTGTGTGTGTGTGTGTGTGTGTGTGTGTGTGAGAACATGCTGAGCGGGGCCTGGAACAGAGTAAACGCTCCAGCATCGAGCTTAGATCCACGTTTATTGGGTCAGATGCAGGACGCCCCAAACCACCCGCTCCCTCCCCTCCCCACCCGGTCTTCCTCCTCCTCTTCCTCCTCTGTAAGTGCCTGGTCTGTGGAGCGGGTCGGCCGATCAGGAGCACTCCTCCCCGATGCGTT